ATTTTATAGTTTTAGCTTACACATTTAGGTCTATGATTCATCTTGAGCTGACTTCTGTGTACAGTATGAGGAAAACCGTGAGTTCTCAATAAACACCTCCTTTTAGTTGGGAATCTGCTCAACCACCACACTTCCCACTCAAACAGGCAGATCCAAAGAGGACCTCTAACAAGGTATAGATGCTGACAGAATCCTCCTTTGGGGAGAAAACATCCCTGTATTTTTTCTCTCACCCAAGTCAGTATCTGATTTTTATTTCAGTGCAGCCTGTTGAAAGCACCTGAATGTGCCAAGATGGAACCGACATGTTGAAAGCAGATCCACTGGGTATGAAAGAGGTTACACAAAATTAAGTTGCCCCACGTAGTAATCATGTTAGAAAAGGTCAGGCCTCAGGAAGCTACCTAATTGGCAAAAGAAAGTCCAGCCCAGCAATTAGAGAACACCACCCACACAGCTTGGATCAGCCCCACCTGGCTGTTTCCCTCCAGCACACACACACACACACACACACACACACACACACACACACACACACACACACACTTCAAAACAATCACACCATTTTCTAAATGGAATAAAACATTCCAGTGCAAGCAATGTTTAGGAGATAACTATACTCTTGGCTGCTTTCTAGCACACCTGACGGATGCAATGAACTCACCACCGCCCCTCACCAGAAGCTGAACATTCTCATGCATCCCATGGACCTTCTCCCAGGACCCCCTACTCCCCCATTATTCCTAGAGCCAAATTAGTCTCCTTGGTTGTGAGAGGCCAGACAACCCATTGCATACAAGGTCACATGTCTCTTGGAAAATCACTCAGCACAGCATCTACATCTATTAGCCATGTCTGCTGACAGCCCTCGTCTGAGCTTTAAAACTAGGTATCCCAGTGATCTACTGCTAAGGATGTCAAGACAAAGCCTTTGCTCCCTTTCCAAGGTGCTTAGCTGGGGGCGAGATGGTTTGACTAACGAGCCCAAAACGTCAATGCAACGAGGGTCCTTGTACCTCTCCCACTATTCAGACAGGAACGTGAGCATAGTGGGCAGAAGTGGTTCATCCCGGTCAGAGAGCAAGCAGAGGGCAGGCCCGAGATTTAAACACAAACCCCCTGACCCGTGGAATCTAACACTCTTATCAGTATTTAACTGTGAGTAACGTGCGAGGGATGCATAAACTGTGCTGCTGTTATATCTGACTTTCCAATATTTAATCACCCCATCTCCCAGCAGACCCCAGGCCATAGATTAAATACCCAGAGTGCTCATGCTCCCTTTTCTCCATCTTTATCCACAGCTCCATGGAAAGGTGACAGCCCTGTAGCTGATGGCTGTTTCCACGGAGCTGAGAAGCAAGTATGGATTCTCTGGCATGAATCTCTCCCCAGGACACTGTTTAGCAGGCTTTCGCCACTTGCGGATGGGATGCTCCACTACCCCACAATGCCACAGGCATGACAGGGGCAACGCTGGCGTGGAGGAAATGAGAAAGGACAAACACCCAGGACTGCTCTTAACCAGAGTCCCAGGAACCTGGCTTATCTCTTCGGGCTCCAAAAGTCTGGATCCTCTGGAGACATGAATTTTGTGAATTTCTAGCTAAATAATTTTTAAAATGATAATAGAAGAAGAGTTCCAGCTAATATTTCTTGGTTGTATACTACGTGGCAGGCTCTATTCTAAGTTATATTGGGATTGGCTCAGTTAATACTACCACCTTATAAGGTGCATACTAGGCATTTACTGATGAGGAAACAGGTGCACAAAGGTTAAGTAACCTGCCCAAGATTACATAGGTAGCAGCTGGTAGCAATTTCACAGAATCCTTCATTATCTGGAGACTTTCAGTGCAAAAGAAGATGCATGCACCTGGTGTGGGACCCACCCAACTCTGCAATGGGGGGAGGAAGGTTGTGCCCCTCTGGGTCCCCTCACAGGGCAGGATTCCATGTGTACTGTATTTCACAGCTGAAAAAGATCTCTGATAATGAGGCTCTTTCAGTCTATTGCAAAACACTGTGAGTCCTACTGGAACTAAAGCCAAACAGAAAGGGAATATAGTGTCCCATCTCATGTGCAAGCTGAAATTTACCCAACCCGCTATAGGTTACAAATGCTGACCGGTAAAAACTAGTCAGAGATGCTATCTTGGTTTGGCAGCACCGTCCTTGGCAGCTGCGTGAATAACTCTGAGAATCAAGTGCTAATCTTTTTCCAGTTCCAATTAGGTTACTAGCCTTGAGACATCTTTATTACCCAATTATCTTTTTATTTTCCTTCCCAGTACCTGAAGAGATAGCCTTGAAAGAGTTTCACCAGGAAAATACATGAAGCAATCAGGATTCCCCACAATGCCTTGCTGCTCTGTGGGAGTCAGAACTCAGACCCGCAACTGAACAACATCCTGCAAGTTAAAGTACTTCAAGTGCCCCCAAACACCTCTGCCCCTTTCTTCTGCCTGTGACACTCTTCTCACCTTCACTTGGAGCATTTCCATTTGTCCACTAGGACCAATTTAGATGGCACCTCTTCCGTGAAGCCCTCCTGTCTCCATGCTGCTTCTGAGCCCTGTGAGCCCTTCTGTCATGGCCCAGGTCACTCTGTATAATTCCTAGTTTACAGGTCTGGCCCTCCCCTTAACTGAGAACCTTTTCTAATTTTATTTGTTGATGGATGGGTTCGCATCTTGTCCTGGCACGTCTCTTGCCAGGGCTCACTAAATGAGTGACCGCTGAAGTTAACTGAAACCCTGGCACTCTCATCTCCTCAAGTGACCTGAATTTGGTTGGCCTGAGGAGTGCTCTCTGAGGTTAAGTCGGCCACGTCCCTTCCATCTCGTTCTATACAACAGCGATAACCATCACTCACCGGCCCACAACTGCGCCGGCAGCACAGTGGCTGGTGAAAAACAAGTGACATCACAGGCCAAGGCACACGCGTTGTCCCACGGGCACTGGGTGGTGCTGGCGGAGATGGCGGGCTGGCAGTTCGTTAATCATCTGACTAATGGAGAGATTGCTGATAACCAATTTAAACAATGCCTCTGCCACTCAGGAGATATTGATTTCAATGACGATGATTGACAAGGAAGGAGGTGGGAGGTGGAACTTGCACAGAAAGCAGTGAAGGGACTTGCCCCAAATCAGCCAGGGAGGAGCAAGCATGGGAACATGGCCCAGTGTTTCAAATTCCAAAACCTGATTCTTCCAGAAATCAACCCCCCAAAAGGGCTCTGCCACGCATCTTCGGAGCACTCTACCTGTGTGAGTAACTACATATTGATGGAATCCCGTGCATCCATGGACTTCAACTGCTCACTGCACCGCCCCAACACCTCCCTTCTGAACACCGATGGGGCACTAAATCTTTAAGTAAACAATTGGTACTTAATTGTGGCACTCTGCAGTTGCTTTCTGGACCTTGATTCTTCAACTAGATCATAAATCTTGTGAAGGGTTTTATTTTATTTCATTACTTCCTATAGCACCTGGGACAGGGCATGGTTCATGAGAGATGCTAATTGCCTATTTGTTGATTCATGCAGTATAGGTTTGTACATGCAGCCAGCCTCTCCGCCCCACTTCGAGAACATTCCGTGAGTCCAGCCGCCTGCAGCTGAAAACTCTTCCCTCCTCAAGGTCAGGACCCCCCAGAGGAAAGTATGAGATTTGCCCAGAAATTCCTTTCAGAACATATAAGAAATGCTGTCTCATTGGCTTTTTTTCTACTGTTTCCATTAATATTCATTAGTAATTTATTTATTTTTCTCCTCATTAGCAGGCATTGCAAGAACTAAAATTTTAAGAAAAAATATTATTAGACAAAAACACAAAACTGAGAAAATGTCTTAATACTTATTACCTACTTTATAATATCTTAAATTTTGGTGGGGGAGAACAAGGTTGGGGGGACCTTAAGTTTTTCAGTAAAGGTGAAAAACTTCATATTCCAGTCTGTCCTTAGAAAAGATGGCTTGTGATCAGATGGGTCAGCGAATGAGGACATGCTGCAGGCGGGCCTGGGCCGCCCGGCCCGTGTGAGAGGGGAAGGGCCCAGTACAGTTTGGCAAGGATATGAGAGAGGTTCAGGTCAGAGGCCCTGGGCCCTGGGCCCTAAGGAATAGAGCAGAGCTTCTCCCCGCCCTCATCCTCCCTGCCTCTTTTCTGGGCTTTGACCTTGTTCCTAGCGGTTTACAAAACTGGAAAAGAAACACGGAGCTACTTTGGAGAATTCTGATTTAACATGCCTCTAAAAAGAAGTGGGGGGGGGGAACTACTATGAAACTCGGTTCATCAAAATGTAGACATTTATCCTTTTTTAAAGTCATATTTATTCTAACAAGTTCATTTACAAAACAAAGATGGAATGATTCGTGAGCTAGGCACTAGATCCATATTTGGGAAACCGTACTCATTCTACCATGTGCATCAGAGGAAGCTGAGCGCCTGCCAACACGCCGGTTCCCACCACTGTCCTGGGGCACGGAATCAGAATGCTGGGGGGAGCCTGGAACACTACATCTCTACTGCCACCCAGGTTAGCTGATGCCCACTGAAGTCCGAGAATCACTGCATTAGGGGACACCCAGCTATGAGAGCAGATGCGTCCCAAATGTCATCATAAACAAAGAGTACTGGCTTCTATTCTTAGCTACAAGTGGGAGGGGGAAGGAAGGTCTTTGCAAAGGCTAGCAGGTGGGGTTAAATCTAGCAACTGAGAAGCTTGTGGGTTTTCATTTTCTGTTATTTATAAGGAAATGGTGGAAAAGAATATCCTTCTGATCAGGAAATCCAGGTCAGGAAGAATGGCTTATCCTTCTGTTCACAGGACGCTACCCCCCCCACCCCGCCCCCGCCAGCTGGCACTATAAAAGGTCTTCCGATCTCTGGAGCCCACACCACCAAACGGTCCTCCCCGCCTGCCTCCCAGCCCTGCAGGAAGATTTGTCCCGCCACAAGAGGCGCATGGTTAGACTCACTCTCTTCTTCCTTACCATTTTCTTCCATTTCATCCTGCGATTCTGGTACCAAGTCTTTACCTGCAGTTGAGTGAGTCCCAGAGACTGGGCCAAGTCCAACCTAAAAGGCATAAGATGCAAAAGAAAGATGAGGCAGAAGAGAAAGGGCAGTAGAGATGGGGTCCTGTTCACTGGTTCCAGGCACTGCTATCGAAATTCAAACTTGCACCATTAAACCAACTCTTCCTCAAAGAGCTTTGCTTTCTTTCCAAAAGCCCAATGGATGAAACTCTGGGAAGCTAGAGATGAATGCCCATGGCCAAGGACTGTCTACGTTGGATCTGAAAATACTTTCTGAGCCTTCACTGCAAAGTCCTTTCTAACCTGACAGTCTTTACTCTGATTCTAAACAAACTGAAGATTCTGACTCAGAACCTATACTGGCGAGGAAAGGGAAAGCTGTATTTTCCTCACTCCAGAACCAGCTCAAGTCCCACCTCCTGTGCAGGAGCCTCCCGGACACCCCCAGCTCACACAGGCTGTTGCCTCTATCCCCACCTATGGGTCCGCCACCACCCAGGTGCCTCCCAATTCTCTGCTGGTCTCTAATTGCTTCACGTCAGTTATTTCTGCCTCCCTAACTCAACTGCAAAAACAGAGTACATCTGCTTCTTTTGTAACCACAAAAATGCCTGTCACATTCTAACCCCAGAACTAGGGCTCAAAAATGCTTTCTGATGGGTTGAGTCACAGTACTCTCTCTGAATTGTCATAATGCCAGATCCCCCCCCCCCAAAAAAAAAGTACATCTGCAGCTCCTCCTCTTCCCCAGTCTACTGCTAACAGTTCTGCATTTCTCTGCAGCCCTCTGAAAGGTCTCGAATGTCAAGGCCATTCCTGAGAAGGGAACAGTTGGGGTAAATGCCAACCACATAGCAAATTCTTCCCAAGTACTGCAGTGTCCTGGGCTCTGTGCTAAGCCCCTGACGATGTTTCGTCTTACGTATTCCTTTCACAGTTCTGTGAAATAGGTATAATTATTCCTATTTTACGTATGACAGATCTGAGGCTCAAAGACATTAGACTCTCTTGGAAACCATGGCCAAATCCTGTCAGCTGCTTGTTTTTGTAAATAAAGTTTTATTGGGACACATTGTTTTACTGGGACACATTTGTTCCAATAAAAGTTTCATTCGTTCACACATTGTCTATGGCTGCTTTCATGCTACAGCCTCTGTGTTGAGTAATTTTGACAAAAATTGTATTGCCCACAAAGCCTAAAATATTTACTCGTTTTTGAAATAGTTTATTTTTATTGTTTTTTCATTACCATTTATCCCCCTTAATACACTCTTCCCCCTCCCTCTCCCCCTCCCCCACAATTACCACATTGTTGTCTGTGTCCATGAGTTCTTTCTTTTTTTTGCTCCAAACCTTTATCCCCTTAATCTCCCCACCAGAGCTGTCAGTCTGCTCTCTATCTGTGAGTCTGTCTATATTTTCCTCGTCAGTCCAGTGTGTTCATTAGATTCCACATTTCAGTGAAACCATATGGTACTTGTCTTTCTCTGACTGGCTTATTTCACTTAGCATAATATTCTCCAGGCCCATCCATGCTGATGCAAAGGGTAAAATTTTCTTCTTTTTTTACAGACGAGTAGAATTCCATTGTGTAAATGTCCCATAATTGTTTTATCCACTCATCTACTGATGGGATACTTGGGCTGCTTCCAAACCTTGGCTATTATAAATTACGCTGGAATAAACATAGAGTGCTTATGTTCCTTCAAATTAGTGTTTCTCTCTGGCCCTGTACAGAAAAATAATGTGCTGATCCCTGGTAGCTGATCCTACAGGAAAAGGTGGAGCCTGGATTCAAATCTACTCACATCGGACTTGTACGCTTCCTCCTGGGTGGAACCTCGCCTCCACCCACCATTTTTTGGTACAAGTTAGATCTGTCAAAAAGAAGCTCTTGTTTCACAAAGAACACGCAAGGGTGCGTGTCACAAGGAGTGCAAACGAGCCGAGAGAAGCAGATGAAATGAAAAAGGGAACCTGGCTTTCAACCTCGGTCCTCAATAATGTAGCTGTTGATTGATGTTGCTAAGAATCCCAGGTCTATCTGGGAAACAGCCGGAAGGACCATCTCCAGAACCAACATCAGCTATCCCCATGTGGTTCTGGTCCTGGTCACTGAGGCAGTGTGGAGCCACTAAAACAGCCACTGGGGCTGAGCACCCTTGATACAGCTGAAGCAGCTCCACCATTTTTTAAGATCCTTGAGTTTCTGAGGATTGCGATTTGTGGATCGAGGTCTATTTTCTCACACAGGCCCCCACAGCCACCAGGCTGAGCCATGGGGACTCTCAGGTGAGTTCTCGGCTGCAACTTTCTCACCTGGGGGGCGAGGAACAACATCCTCCCATCAGGAAGAGTGGTGGGTGCAGGCGGTGAAGGTTCCAGGTGCTAACTCTCGGCACTCCCAGATGCTGCTGCTCCCCTGCTCTGACCAGAGCGCACCATTTAAATCTCTAGTAATATAAAAACAGTCTTCCTTCGAAGGCCTGCAGACCCTGTCTTAGATCTGCATTCACATGTATCTGGTTGTCCCAGTAAAAGGGCTACTGCAAGCTGACAGTTTTATTGAAGGTGATTAACAGGCTGAAGCTAATAAACTCCCAGTGCCAAGAGCACTCAGCTCTTCCCACGAAGGCAAGCCATTCACTAAGAACCAGAGCCCAGGGCTCAACCTCACAGACTTTGGTCTCTCAGGCCGCCCTAGACACAGGTGGGCTCTCACCGGGCCTCGGAGCCAGTTCACCAGAGGCCGACAGGTACATTCTTCAGCGGAAGGTTCAGTTCACAGCTCTGCCACTGCGTCAGCAAACGGCATTAGCTCACTTGGGAAAAATGCGTGCTTGACTCACTCTGGCTGCAGAAACACACTTCACTGTCATCAGCTTTCTCTCATTACCTGCCACCGTTACAAATTCTCACTGCCCTGCATATTCGCTTAAATGGAGTCACCTAGGAAACTGGAGAAACAAACAATGAGGAAGAGGGAGAAGGCTGTGGGAGGAGGGCGTGCTCCTGGCCCTGGTCACCGTCACGTACAGAGGTGAGGAACATATGAGAGGGCAGGTTAAGGCGGCAGCTTCAGCGCCAGCCAGATGGTGTCCTCCTCCCCGGGCAAGTGAATCAGCCCTGTGTAGGTCACCTGAGAGGTGCCTGGGCAGGTAGCAGGAAGCCCCAGGAGGCTTACTGGGAACTAACACTTCTGTTTTTAAAAAAATGCTTGACCTCTCGAAAGTAAGCCTAAAATTGTACCCGTGCACATCGGAGGCCTTTGAATATACCACCATGTGATTCATAAAATATGGTGCCCACTCCGCCTGGTCTCCCCGTACCTGAGGCTCTTCATTGTATGCTGAACCATCAAAATAGCCATTTAATACCTAGAGATAGCATCTCGTAATCCCCAATTCTGGTGTCCCTGCATGCCCAGCGGCACATCCCAGGAACCACAAAATGCCCAACCCTCCTTTCCCTTCCTCGCGGCAATGCCAGTTCTGTCCATTCCACCCCAAATTTGTTTTCCAGCCTATTCACTCCCCTCTCTATTCCCACTGTGACCACCTTCATTTGGACCTTCTGTGACTGTCCCTAGACTCTCTGGTATCCCTGCTCTATGTCGTCCCTCTCTAACCAATCATTTATGGTGCCACTCATGTAAGGATTCTTAAGTCCAGCCCTGTCGCTTTCAGCTCTTAATGGCTGCCTACGGGTGGCCTAAACAACAAAGTGCACGTCTTTCGGCAAAGGAGTTCTTCTGGCTTCTGCAGCCGCATCTCCCATCACACCCCCAGTGACACCTTTAGCTGGAGATGATCCGACCCCTTGCAATTCCCTCAACGTGCCCAGTGTCATGTTTCTGTGCCTTTGGTGTGACATCCCCTCTGTGGCTCTCCCTCCTGCAATCAAGCCTCTTCCTAAATGGTACCTGCTCTTAGAAGCCCTCCTGCACCCCGTGACACTCAGCAACATCCCTGGAGTCCTACTGCCCCCGGTGCCAGACTGGCACCAGCCCCCAGCCCCCTGGGTTGTAGTGCGGCAGTCACTCCCTTCCCCGAGACCTTCTCAGGAGTAGGACTCCTGTCTAGTAGTTTCTGGATCCGTAATCCCCTTCCACAGTGCCTGGTACAGAAGACCCTCAGCAAATAGCTGATGGCACTCCCTCATCTAATTGAATCAATCAACAAATTCTCTTTTAGTCAGTGATTTGTAAACCTCACTTGAATTTTTATCACACAGCTACTAAGTAGCTGAAGAGATGCATTTGCATGTCCTTCTCTTTATCCTGGAAAACACTCCCAATAAAAAATAGGATCACAGTGAGGTCCAGAGAGAGTCTGGGAACCTGATAAGACATGAATTCATGGACATGTTTCAGCTAAGATACTAAATTAAAGAAAGAGGGTGAGGTGTTAAAGCCTGTGAGTAACTTGGGAGTCCCGGCCACCCTCATCTGGATCTCAAAAGGGTTTAGAGAAGGGAATGTTGCCCAGGTCCTCCTTGGCCTCAGCCAAGTGGTTCTGGCTTGCCAGTCATCAAATTCACCCGGACATCTGACAGCTCTCCAACCCCATCAACCCAGCCTCTCCATCAGGAGCCAAGCGGCAGACTGGACCAGGAAGGAGCTGGAGAGTGAGGGGAAGACTCAGACCCCGGATCCCAGTTCCAGATTTAGTCACACTGCATCTGCTCCTAAGTGTGAGTGACTTTATAAACCAACCCTGCTCCCCAGCTGAGAGTCTGGGCAACCATCTACTAACCTCTACCTTGCTTGTTATACAGGGGTAGTTAAATGAAAATGTGGAGGGACGGTGAGCAATACCAATTCAGCAACGGGCAGGTTCCTCCGAGGCCCAGTGTGATGAATTCACAGGGGCTGGATGCTGTTGAACCAAGGCTGAGGTGAGGCGAGCCAAGGACTGGAATCCTGACAGTGTCCTACATCTCCCTAATGGGCCTTGTGCCTAGGCGTCCCACAGTGACAGCAAAAGGAGCCTCCCCTTCTCAAGGGTCTTAACTGCAGACAGCTCCCTCCCTATGTCCTCACCTGTCTGGGGTGGACAAGTACTTCTGCTTCTGGAACTTCTTCTCCAGGCCCATGAGCTGCAGCTCGGTGAAGATGGTCCGACTCCGGCGAGGTTTCTTCTGCCGGTGAGTGAGCTGCTCTGTCTCTGACTCACTGCTGCCTGGGGCCTCGCAGCCCGGGGCCTCTGCAGAGGCAGCCTCGGCAGTGGGGTGGCGGGACAGCGCCTGGGTGATTCCCGGGGTGGTGGAGACCAGGGGAGAGATGACTGTGGGCTGCCGAGTGATCACCGAGAGGACGGGATATGCCCGAAGGGAAGCAGGGCCTAGAAGACAAACAAGGAAGCAAGTCACCCAAGGAGTAGGGGTGGAAGGAGGCCGGGGGCCCTTGGAAATCCATGTGCTGAGACTGACTGGCAGGGCCTCCAGATCGTAAGGTGGTAGGGGAAGAGGAAGCAAGTCAAGACCTGTAACAGCTGGGTCTTGACTTACAGGCAGATTTGCACAGCCTAGTGTGTGAGAACAGTCAAGTCTCCCATCACCAAGAAGAGGTTCCTACAGTTCTAAGTGACTCTTCTCCCCACCCTCTCTCTCTTTTGAATCCCTAAATTGTGGTTTCAGAGATATGGGTCAATGGAACTGAGAAGATGAGAAGTGGTCAGAAAACACTAGAAACACACAGGTAGGAGAGCTAAAATAGATCTGTAACACATAAACTGCCTGAGACCCACCTGTGGTCTTTATAAAAATACATGGTTGTAACTATGAATGCCTCTCGAGAAGTCTATGTACCTTGGATCATAACATTTCTCACATACGGAAGGATGCTGAAAGGTTCTTTGATTCAAATCCCTCATCTCTGAGACAAGGAGACAGTCCCATGAAGGCTGAGGGACTTGCCCAAGACCACAGAGTTCGGAACAAGCAGACTCAGGAGTCAAACCAAGTTCTCCTGGCTTGAAGACCCATGCTCCTATCACCATCCTGAGTCACTTGGGCTGCTCGTGGGGGGCGCTGCAAACCGATTTTAACTCACAGGAGAACTCAGACACATCGTGACTAGCTGCCTACAGAGCTGTGTGAAGGAGAATTCTCAGGCTGGGCCAGAGCTTGGCCAAGGAAAGACAACCGAGGCTGATTAATGCCGTCTGCCATGAAGGGCGAGGACAGCAGGGTGGCAGACAGGCTAGTTAAGTGACATTCCTGCTTGAGGAATATCAAGGCAAGAGTACTTTTCTGTCCAAGAATATGTACGTCTCTAAAGTTCAACTTAACTCTTCCTTTTCATGATTCAACAGTATCGGGTTTCAAGTGTCCTGACCATTGCCTGTGTAAACCATGTTGTCTCCCTGGGTCTCAGTTTTCTCATTCATATCGTAGGTAAAAGTAGAGCAGGTCAAAGAATCCTTCAAACTCCAACTCGTTGATGCCACAAAAACGTCTCTCATCCCAAGCCCATCTTGCTACCTAATGACAATCAAGGGGACTCAGGGGCTGCCCTCTGGGACTCAGTCCAGCCCTGACCACTCACCAGGAGGACAAGGCAAGGACCTGAGCCAGAAACACTCACCCTGGCTCTGGGTCAAACCAATGAACAGCACAAATCACGAGGTGTACTCATGTTCTCTCTCTGCTCTGGGTTGGCGTTTCTCTTCTTATTCATTTTTATGCTTCTGTTTTGGACCCGGTCATAGCTATCAAAACAGAAGACTTCTCTTGTTCTTTGACTATACTTCTAGCACGACTCAGTCAAAACCACAACATTGTTAAATAATAAATCACCAAGGGCTATGACTTCCAGTAACTCTCCAGCCAATGCTAACACTTGAGGTTTTGTGTTGTAGGTTCTTTTTAAGAAAAAAAAAAAGCATCTGGAAATGATATTTTATAGCAAAAAAATGAGGACACCGGGACAGTGGTTTGGGATCTGCCATTTATGTTATGAAATGCTATGACTTGAAGGAAGATTCTGAAATTTTCTGACACAGGCAGATGTTTTCTTATCTCAAATGATCTCTTTACTCCTTTAGTTCTGCCATTTCTTTCAAAGAAACTGTCTTTCTTTTTTAATCCATGTGTAAGGATATGTTTATTGATTTTAGAGAGAGGAAGAAGGAGAGAGAGAGAAACATCGGTCAGTTGTCTCCCATACACGCTGCAACTGGGAATCGAACCCACAGCCTAGGTATGTACCCTGAGTGGGGATCGAACTCACAGCATTTTGGTGTATGGAACAATACTCTAACCAACTGAGCAACCTAATCAGGGCAAAACTGTCTTTCTTTACTAAGCAGGCTAACTAAATCTGGAAACCTGAGAGCTTACCAGTACGGGAAGGAGCTAGTTGCCTACTTTTAAGTAAGGCTTTTAATCACCTGAGTTTCAACTTTCTTTTTTATAGTAGGAAAGTTAAAAATTTTTTTGCCTATCATTGAAAAATATTTTGGAAGTGTGGTAATATTTAGTGTTGGCAAGGATATGAGGAAATAAGCACTCACATACTGTTGATGAGTGTGCAAAAACAGTATAATCTTTCAGAAGGACCAACTAAACAGTATCTATCAAATTATTGACCAGGTGATTCCAGAATTTGAGACTCATTCGCTATGGGCAAAAAGATTTATGTACAAATATATTCCCTGCAGCCTGTTGATAACAGTGAAAAGAGGAAAATCACCCATATATCTATCAACAGGAAAACGGTTAAATAAATCATGGTCCATCTATAGCATGTTCCACAATGTAACCATTAAGAAGAACTATCTATACTTATATGCGCTGACAGATAAACTACATGTAAACTAACATTCTGAAATATCTAAAATATATTATTGAGAGAAAATTTAAAAATAGAACAATTTGCATTACCATAAAAAATTGTGTCTGCCTTTACAAATGTGTTTTTAAAAGTCCAGGAAGTTGGTGGCCATACAATTTACAGTTATTACCTCTAGAGAAGCAGTAGGGGTGAAACAGGGTGAAAGGAATCTATGGGTCTTGACATAATCTTGTATTCAATCTTGCCATAAATGTTTATTGAGCATCTACTGTGGTCTATACTCTGTTCTAAAGGCCGGGGATACAGCAGTGATGACTACAAAGTCCCACCGTCATGGAACTTACATTTTAGTCAGGGAGGTAGAGGGTAAAGAAATAAATATACAGTGCCAGGGAGTGATAAACTCTATGGAGAAAAAATGAGGCAGACTGTGCCCTGGCTGGTGTGGCTCAGTGCCAGCCTGAGAACCAAAGGGTCACTTGGTTCGATTCCGAGTCAGGGCACATGCCTGAGTTGCTGGCCAGGTCCCCAGTAGGGGGCGCTCAAGAGACAACTGCACATTGATGTTTCTCTCCCTCTCTTTCTCCCTCCCTTGCTCTCTCTAAAAATAAATAAATAAAATATTTTTTTAAATGTAGCAGACTGTGAAGATGGGGCTGGTAATTCAGACAGAGGAATCAAGGAAAGGCCTCTGTGGAAAGGTGATATTTCAGCAGGTGACAAGTGACTCGGTGGAGAGGAGAGTCTCTAGGAAACACAGGGAAGGATATTCCAGGCACAGAAGCAACTCATGCAAAGCCCTGCAGTGAGCTTGGGTTCAAAGAAGAGCAAAAAGCAGAGTGAGCAAGGGGGGAAATCCCAGCAATCCCCTCTCCAAGGCATTAATCCAAGTCAAAAGGAAACACAACGACCTATATGCAGATGTTTACAGTGGTGTTATTAGTAATTAACAGACACCGGAAACACTCCAGATATCCTTCAGCGGGGGATGGATCAATAGCTGTGGTACACACGTGCAGTGGCCCACTATTCAGGAATAAAATGGGAACACGTCACCGATCCTTGCAACAGCACGGGATGAGCCTAAGGCACTGCGCAGCGTGAAAGGAGCCGGGCTCGAAAGGCGGTACAATTTCACGTACGTGACATTCCGGAAAAGGCAAAATTAAGGGTGGAGAAGAGATCAGTGGTTGCCAGAGGTTAAGGATAGGGGGAAATTTTGACTACAAAGGAATTGGGTCGGCAGGGGGTGGAGCGATGAGACTGTTTTGTACCTGGACTGTGTTAGTAGTTATATAGCTTTATGCCTCGGTCTGAACTTATAACCATACCTTAAAATAGTGAATTTTGACTGAATATAAATTAAAACAAAAGACAGCCAAATATTATAACTGCTACTTTGTTCTATTACCAAAGTAACAATTTTATTTTTAAAGAAATGTAGAACAATTCAGAAATGCATAAAGTAGACGTCTTCCCTCCCAGCTCTCAATCCAAAATGGAGAGATAAACTTCCTAATTGTTCCTATGTATAGAAACACATACATATGTTCCAAATATAGTAATATGTATGCTAATCTATTGGCACACATAGTACAAAGTGTTTATTTTGTAAAATGTAAATATCACTTAGTTTTTCCTAAATGCGTAGCGAACAATCCCAAAACCACATGAAGACTAGTCCGGCAATTTAAACTGCCAGCTTTAAATACTGTAAGTTCCCAAAGCAGTGAGGTTGGGAATTTCTGAGCATCAGAGTTCTGGGAGTCTGCTGGGGAATTTTGGTCACCAGAATTCTGAGAATCTCCTACCCTCCAGAAACACAAACTGGGAAAAGAATGACCCTTGTGTAGCACTGTCCCCTGGGGAGGTGGTCATCATAGAGAAGGCAACTGGGACACTGCTGCATGAAGGTGCGGGTGACAGGGGAGGAGAGGCGGGGGGAATGCAATAGCTGGGAAACCCCATGGGTCAGAGGGAGGGCACGGGGTTTAGAGGCAGCCATGGGTCTGCAGCCCTGGGGAGAGCAGAGGCTCCTTGCAGAGGATTTCTGGAATGCATTTTAAGGGGGTGCTGTGTAAAGTTCATGAACGTACTTCTTTAAGAAAAACTAAAGATCTTCATGTTCAAGGCTTTTGTAGTCAGAGTTCTGTTGTCTTTGAATATAATTCTGTGCATATACTGGGCCACAAGGGGCCCTAAAAATAGTCAGGTTATATTATGTATACATGTGTCTCTTTCTGAACCCTGTTCTATGGAGCTCGTACATGCGCCTACTATTATGGATTTTTTCCCATGGAGTTTTGTTATTGGGTAGAACAAGTTCCCCCTTTTTATTCTTTTGACAAAAATTTCTTGGCTATTGTCATTAATTTATTTTTCCTGTTAAATTTTAGAATCATCTCACTCGTCTCTGAAAAAAAATCCCACTTAATATGTTATTAGAATTACATTAACTTTATAGATTAATTCAGGGAGAGAAAAATTTTTTGATGATACTGTTATCTGGTAAGTGGAAAGCAATTGTTGCTATTTTAAAATCACTTT